AAAATAAAATAAATAAATAAGATATCATAAGTACTTCATAGGTATGGAGACAATAAAGAAGCATCCCACAGAGGGCATTCTTACACTAGAGTTTCGTAATACAATTCACAGAACTAGCCTCAAAAGTAGTTGCAAAGGTAAATTGTGACATCATTTAGAGAAGTACTAACTACATTTTTCGTTGTTTTTTATTCCTCGATGTACTTGCAACCATCGGTGTCATCACTACACTCCCTAGAGTGCGTGGTAGCATTGGGCTTTCACCAGTATTTGTAATTGTATTTGAAATACCTAATGAATAGCTAGTGTTCGGCCTTATTAGGGAAGGAGAGTCCATTCGTAGAGCACTAAACCGAACAGGTGATCTGCTTCTCCTCTTTTGACTACTTCTGTTCTGTACAGATTTTCCTCCACTGGTACTAATCCTGTCTAGTTTTATTTCAACAGGCTGTCTAACCCTCTCAGCAGCAAGTTCTAAAGATTTCTTTTTTCTACGCCTCTTATCTCTGGATCGATCTCTCATCTTTTTTGATTTAGTGGGACTTTTATTGAAGGCTTGATCAGCAGTTTGGGACTGAGAGTGGGGTAATGCATACTGATGGCTTGAGATCTGGTTCTTCTGAGTATCAAGATCCTGATGTTCGTATATAACCTGCAAAATTTGAAATTAAACAGTAAGAAATTGTTGATAAGAAATGTACATAGGAACAGAGAACACACTTGACATACAAATACAAACCTGCAGAATTTTTTGTTTAGCGGATTTACGTTGCTTAAGGGTCAGATGCCTTAGCTCATGTGCTATGTGTTTTCCAAATACTTCCAATTCATCTTCAGTTTTCTCTGACAAGTTCGTGGAGAAAATAATTGGAGATGGTGGTGATCTCTCATCTTTTTTCTGTGGATGATAAAATTCAAAGAAATGTAATACACATCAAATAAAGCCAACCTTCAGATTTCTCATTACTGCAAAAATGTAATTATCAGTCAGATAGAGATAAAATTATTTAAATACTGTCTGTCAGGGGCACAATACAACAGTATGCAGGTTCGCCTACTCACTCAAAACGTAGGGCACCATTGACCCCTAACGTATGCAAACCCGCAAACTGGTTGAGTAGTAGCCCAGCCAAGCGGTAAAGTACGTTACAATCACCCTAATGCCTCAAAACTATGTACTTACCATGGCTTTGTGATGCAAATACAGATGAAACTTGTTTTCACTACGTCTTCACCAGAAAATAACTATACCGAGCAATACGAACAGTGTGTAACCCGACTTAGAAGTTACAGATACAATATGAGATGTGGACTGCACCAAAATGTTACAGCTAGAGTACCAAAAGATAGGTATTACCTAGCTCAGACCATCACTGTATGATCAAGAATGCTTCAATTGGCGAATGTGCTCAAATATAGAATATTGATGAAAGCTAAGTAAGCTTGAACATGTAGGTATTGACAAAAACTTCCAACATACTTCTCCAGCACTTCGTGTTTTTTTTTTTTTTTCAAATATACCTATTGACCATGGTAGTGTTTTTTGACATACAGTCAGTTCCCATTAGTGCAACTGAGACCACGGGTCAAAGACATTATAACGGGGAACCTTCGTATCTGATCTGATAGCATTAATAAGCAAATTAATGACATAGGACTGCGGAAAAAATCGTTTTAACACGGAAATCGTTGTATCCGGGGGTCGTACTAATGAGGATTGACTCTATGTCTTAACTTAACAGAGAAATGTGTGTCACAACAGGTCTTTCATTGAATTTGAACATGAAGAAGTGCAAGTTAGATTGCAAAACAGAGAACATGTACTATCCACACAGACTGCATTAACACGTTGAGTGCGGCGGGGGTAGGCAATCCTATGTTATTGGAACCCATGGTGTGGGTCACGCCGCACTCGACGTGTTAATATGATTACTGTTCACACTTAAGTGAAATTGACAAATAAAATTCTGTGTTCTAAAGTCACTTTAAGCAGTAATAGATTTTAAATAGATGGGGTGATCACTTTACTGAAACATCTGATACTCTGTATTGTCACAAAGCCACGTTTGAGTACATAGGAGAGGAAAGAGAAGATACTTTGTAAAAGTAAATAAACAAGTGAACGTCTGACACAAAAATCACACTCTCTCTCTCTCTCTCTCTCTCTCTCTGATATATGCAGCCGCAAAGCTGAGACCAACTCAACTTAGGAAAATTGTCTTCAGAGTTTAAACCAGAACCAAAAGAATTTGATGAATGTGAGACATAATTGAATATTTTAAGAAATACAATGAGAACTAACTTCTCAAAGATCAATTTTCTAATTAACCTAAGACAGCTGAGCTTTAAACAGGTTTCTTACACATGCGTAAGCACACTACTTGGGTATGTGAATTGCACAAGTATAGTTAAGTTTATATTTCTTACCTGCGGATCTCTAACAACCTTGGAAGCTGGTTTTAGAGTTTCCTGCTCTTGACGTATCGTCTCAGATATTTTTATTATGCGAGGAGCTGGTTTTGGTTCTTGAGTATCAGTCTATAAGGTGTTTAAAAGGTTTTAATAGACTCAAATCATGAGATCATAAAATGAAATCTCCCACTGTGATCAGATATTTACCTTTGAAGGAGAAGAACTCTTTGGGGGGACAACTTCTTTTAGTGGCACAGAAGAATTAAGTGCAGTCTTGTCCACTGCTGCCTTAGCATGATCTGTCTGGTCTTCCTGTATTCCAGGTTCAGGGACCCTTACCTCTGTGCTACTTGGAGCAGGCAGCTTTCTTTCAATATTTGAGGTTTTCAAAGCAGAGCCAGATGATTCCTCAGTATCACCCCACATATCTACAAATTTAAATTTGATTTGATTTACAGCAACAGCATACATTGAAATTTAAGAAATGTGTTTATCAATGGAAGCAGGTGTTTGGAGATTACTCCTCAGAGTCAAACAAAAAACTACGAAGTACAGTATCAGTACATACCAACTTCAACATCAGCTTTAATGTTGATGAAGTCTTCATCATCTTCCTCTTCATTTCCCTTTGATTCTGATGACTTCTTTTCTTGTGTGGTGATAGTGTTAGATTTTGGTGGTTGGACATTAATTTGGACTTGATCATTTGATAGATCTAAAATAGAGAATTAATGTTAGAGAAAATTTCATGTGCTCATTAAAAAGCATAATTACAACAGATAGTAACCTTTAGCAAATAGGTCAACTGGCTCTGACTTAATAGGTCTTTCTTTTGGAGGTCTCTGCTTGAGACCACTAGTATTGTCATCCAATTCTTTTTCTGTGGTTTTAACTTTCTCTGACGTCTTCTCATCTTTATCCGATTTTTCTTTATCTTTCTCCTTCTTCAGCTTTTTCCGTTTCTCTTTTTTGTTGTCTTCAGATGATGGCCTCTTCTTGTCTATGGCCTTTTTAATCTCTAAAATTATACATAAAATTTAGGAGAGTACAAGCAACATCAGGAGGGTGGATCAGGAGGGTAAGTGAAGATTTCATTCTGTGAGCACTTTAGGATCTTACCTGTACTATTTACAGTAACTTGTTGCAGTTTACTAAGAACTGTGTGCAGCCAGTTGGTAAATGTTGAAGTACTATCACCAAGAAAAAGCTGCAAATCTTCCTCCATTTGCTGCCGGGATCGTTTGTTTGCAACCATGACCATAATGTAGTCTGGCAGCTCATCATCTACAAAAACAGGAGAGGAGTAGACTGTGATTTGTAATTTTGACACAAACACTACCTCCATTTATCAAAAAAGGAGTTAACTACTTACCAACATATGCACCCAGCTCCATCAGTTTAGCTTTGATTGCAGACTGTAAAAAACATGTTAAAGCTTAACTTAAGCACTCAACCAAAATTTTCACAGAAAACAGAAATTTTACTATAAAAGTGGCCACAGGTATATGTTTCCTGCTTCTCCGTTGCAAGAAATTTTATTTGGTTAACTGAATTTAAAAAAAAACAAAAAGCATAAAAAAATTAGACAATACTTACTCTTATTTTATTGCTAACTTCTCCGCGAATACCGTCCATATTTATCAGCTAACTCAAAGAAACAGTTTGTGACAATTAGGTTATAAATAATATTGTGGCGAGCCAATAAAAAACGCACAGCTCATTTCTAGAGCTGCGACCGAGCTTGTGATGATTTCAAAAATAACAAACAATACACAAGAACGATTAATTTGAATTCTGAACGACCACAACTCCAAAGATCATTCGGTTACCCTAAAAGGGTTGGACAAAACGACAAAACTGGAACTGGACTTCTCTAGCTGGCTAGACTCTTGACGACCTATAGAAGCGAGACGACGTCAGTCGGCAGTCCTCAACAACTCGAGTGCCCGTGCTGCCATCTGCAGTTACTTTCTCCTGCTTTCTCTTGCTCAGACCAATCAGATGACATGCTGATATTTTCCCTTTCGAGTCCTGAGTCCACGCTCCTCTGTGGAGTGAAGCCTAGGATCAGGCATCTCTTGTGTGTACAAATTTTGCCTGTTATATGTGTTATCGTTTGTTATGTTGAAGTTGAAATTCTGCAATTCTTTGGTAAGATATGACTCTTTCACATGTTTTCAATTCGTGATCAGATTTTGTTGAAGGTTAGTAGCTTAGAGTAAACAATATGCCGTTTGCTTCCTAATTAATGGATTGTCGTCTGCACTAGTGTGACAGTGAGAGAAAAGGCGTTTGGCTTTCTTTCTTAATTTTACTTTTACGGATTGCATTATTACCATGTATTGCGCCAATCATGTACTACATTTGAAATTATTTTGCCTGTGTTATTGACTTAGTTTTCCAAATATGATACGATGTGTGCCTTTTTAACCCAAATGCTGGATATTAAGGCTCACATTATTGTCTTTTTGATCTAGTTTTGAATTTTAAATGTACCCAAAGAAGGAGGAACCGTTGCCAGTAAACTGCTACTATAATGTATCTATACTGTCTGACTCTCTATGACACATTCTCTTTTTTGATGTAAATTAAACTAATTAGAAACATCAAAAGTCTACATTTTATAAATGGTTTTGTTATGATTTTTGAGATATGAACTGCAGATTAGCATTCTTCTTTATTTGTTAACACAAATAGTAGCTCTTACAGTTTCAATCTTATTATTTTCAGATTCACCTATCACAGTTCATCAAAACATGGCTGTAATGTAGAAAACTTTTAAGTTGAGGGTACCCAAGGGGTGCCAAAGGCATGGGGAGTGCCCTGAGCAATCTGTTCAGTAGCAATGGCCTTTTGGTATCAAATCACCGAGGTATATCTGACCTCTCTAAAGACCACGTCAGACAGCTGTTTGAAGTCTTGAGGGCAAATCCTCGAATTAATATTCAAAGATTGGAAGGATTTCTTCAAGGGATACCTAAGGTGAATGTCAACTTTCACAGCTCATATTAATTAATGTGTCACCCTACAAAGTTGTTTGGATTATTTTATGATAATTCTTTTTGCAGTGTGATAACATTTTGCTAGCTCATAATGGTGAGGGATACAACCTTTTACAAAAGTGTGTTGGCATCAATAATGTTGAACTAGTACGGTGGATCTGTTCAAGAAATCCAGATTTGAATCGCGGAGCCTGTTCCTTTCCACTTCATATTGCTTGTCTGAAAGGGTAAGATATGTGATAAGTGGTTCCTATTCAAACAAGTAGCAGCCAAGCAATCGCACTTGCTACTGGCTGAACTAAAATACACCCAGTTGTTGATGATCATAAAATTTGAATACTCGCCTCAGTAAAAAATATTTGGCTTGTATGCACGAGGAAGTAATATAAATTAACTCAGATACAATTTCAACAGGCATGAACAAATTGTTGAGTTGCTCTTGAAACATGGGGCAAGAGTTGATGTTGAAGCACGCATGTGCTGGCCTGGTCCGCACAATCAAAACTGTGAAGAGCGTGGGAAGTACAGTAAGTTTACAAATACCAGACTATTATTACTTCAATAAACAGCGTTTGTACTTTTCAACTTGAAAACTCATGACCTTTATTAATTTATCATTTTGCTTGAATTGTTGAATCTAGCTACTTCACATGGAGACCCTATTCCATCAGAGAGAACTAGTGACAAACTCCAGAATGCTATTTGTTATGCAATTGATGGAGACCAGGTAATGTACTGTTTTATTGGTATGGTATGTAATGACATTACAATATTTCAAGTTTACCTTATTTCTCAACTCTTGATTACAGGTAGCAATACTAGAATTACTTACTCAAAATGGTGATGAACATTGGTTTCCATGGCAAGCCAAACGACCATTGCTACATATTGCCTGTGATCGAGGTGCATGGAACTGTTGTAAATATTTAGTAGAAGAGAGGCCTGAGGAAGTTAATTTATGCTTTGATGAATATTATCCTATTCATCAGGCTGTCCTGCATGATGTACGCTTTCTGGAACTGCTCATTTCGTAAGTACTCATCCCTACCCTACTAATCTAGCTCTTTGACTTAAACCATCAGACGCAAAAGATTTTGATTTTTTTTTTTTTTATTTAAAATGAAACAGATGTGGTGCACAGACCACTGTTCGCACAGCAACTCAGCAAATGACTGTTTTACATATTCTTTACCTTATTGGGCGTAAGTCTGCACAAGATACAATGGCAACAACACGCCTTCTGCTAGATAATGGTATGAGAGAAAGTATCAATGAAGCAGATTCCCTAGGTAATACTCCTCTTCATGGTCTAATTGTTAGGTATGCCTTAGAAGAAGCTCGTTATGGATATGACCATGACAACACTCCATGGAATAAATGGGATGTATTGCATTTGGTAAGTTTCTCTTAAATGGGCCTAGAAAAGTTGATAATCATGTTTTCTTAATTTTAACTTTTTTAATTGTAATTCTTGTTTCTCATCGAAGGTTCGTTTCTTGCTTCAAAATGGTGCTAGACCCTCTATAAACCAGCAAGGTAATTCAGCCCTTGCATGTGTGTTACGGCATGTTCGTGATTGGGAATTTCGATATGAGTTGTTAAACATGCTTCTACAAGAAGGTGGCAATCCAAATTTTGTTGGGCGTGATGGTTCTGTTCCTTTGATGGTTTGTCTTGTGCCACTCATAAATAAAGATCCATTACATCATTTTACTCATAACATGAAGGTAAATTTACTTTTTACATTTTGCATGTTCTTAATTAAGTGAGAAAACTTGACTAACAGAAAAATACATTTTAGGTCTGTTATTTGAACTGTGTAAGAATTTTGTGTAAGCATGGTGCAAGCCCTAACTGTTCTTCGCGGTCCAACTTAACCCCCTTACATGTGCTCATGTTTACTGCCAGTGAAAGTATTGCCCTTTCACGTCAAGATGAAAAAGCTCAAAACTTTGAGTTTATACGTAGCTTACTGGTAAGTAAATAAAACGTAATCCTTCAGCGTTTTTGGTACAGTACACTATTGTTTATGAGAAACAATTGTAAAAATAAACCACATAACATTTTTCTTCATTTCAGGTTCTACTTTTACAAAATGGTTTGGACCCAAATGTGCGGTTTTCTCAAAAAACACCTCACATCTTGCCTGCTGTGATGGATATGGTGCCTCAGGCCCGTTCTCCAGCTGACTTGGTCCATGTTCACTCACTTACTTTGGCTCTTCTTCAGTATGGTGCAGATCCAAACATAAATGTTCCTCCACCCGACCACATAACTATTTGTCATTCTCAATCTTGTGTTTTGAAAAAAGCATCAAATCATGTAAGTTTGTATTTTTATTAGAAAATTTATCTACTATTTCATTTTATCTGTTTGTATTTAATTGATGTTCTATATCTTTATTCAGGTTTTATACTATTACATAGTTACAATATGTAGAAAAGAAGAAATAATCCTGGATCCTGCCCAAAACTTTATTGCTATCATCATGCTGTTCTATTTCTGTATGGACCATCGACCATTGTTCTCATGCTTGAAAGTTATTTTTACTGCTCTGCACTCTGGCATCATGTCAGTCAAAGGAAACCCTGCCCTTCTGAATGTGATTCGTGAACTTCATGCATCACCACGCACGTTGAAACAAATCAGTAGAGTTTCAATTTATAAAGCACTGAGGCGTTGTCCTGGAGTCCATGCCAACAAATTACCCCTACCTCCAACTTTAAAAGATTACTTACTCAATTTTGAACCTTGAAGATTTCCAAGTTACTTGTTTTAGACAAATGATATGTTTATCAGAGTCTGGTTTGTTGTTTTATTATATTCTAATTGTTATATTACTGTTATTTAATTATTTCAGTCTGACCACAGGTGCTGTTGCACCTTAATTATTGAGCTTGGAATTCTGTAAATCAAGTTGCTTTACTTTTAATGCTTGGAAAACTGGTGCTGTCATCCATCTTCAAGTGGTTGACCTTGAAGTTGACACATTATATTTCTGGAACTGTTTTCCCTTATTTGAGCAATGGTGCTGCGCTGCACCAACTATGTGACTTTGGGATGCTATTCTATATGCATTCCTATGGTAGTTTTAATCTGCAAGATCTTGCCTGATCTAACTTTGATGAGATGTGTAAATAAAGGGCAAGCATAAAGCAAAGCATTCTTCCAGTGTGTCAAATACTTAACTAGCTCTGCTGTAATTACATGGTAATTACTCAGCACAGCCCAGGAAAACTTCCTTCCAGCATGAGAAAGCACATTGTGCTCAGCATTTTATTAACCATAATTTAAATTTGTTCTGTTGCCCAGCTTCATGTTCATTTCAACATTCATACACATGATAAAAAGAGAAAAAAAAAGGGCTTGGCTCTGTTTGTGGACTACAATGGTTAAATTTATACAATTTTCCACTACCACTGGAATCTCATTAGCCTGTTAACCTGAAAATTAAGCGCTTTAAAATTGTGTTCAATTAAAAATGTTTATTGTGGGCTTTGTTGACTTTCAGGAAAGAAATTCAGCTACCAAAACAAGCAAACAGTTCTAATAAGTATTGGGATGCTTGTTAATTGTATGTGTGTCCAGGAATAAGTTATTTCAAAATAAAACCAAACAAATTTATTAGCAGTTTATTTTTTATTGGCTGTGAATAACATTTGTACCATTTTCATAAAGTAATTCTTAGCTTTCAAATTCATCCACATTCAAATCCAAACTCACAACATTAACAACTACCATTGTGCCTTAACTTATATACACAATAGATATCCTTAATTAAGAGGTAGAGCTTTACATTCTCTTTCACTCATTCAACTGACCTCTCCAATGAGCTTTCTAGGGTAAGTCTTGAATTGACAATGATTTTGTAAGAACTTCCCCAAACCATCACCAATTGGCTAGATGCTGATTTATTTAGTAGTGGACTGTAATTAATTAAATTAATTTATGCCAGAGCAACTGTGAAATTGCACTTAAGTGATAAACATGTGTTTGCACAAAAAATACAATGCCTTGACAGGTGACGATCTACAAAAATGATTTCACACTGCAGTAAATCTGAAGCTACCACTCTCATTGACAATCATTGGTTTCATGGGGTACCACCATTAACAATACTTAAGGAACTTAAGAGTTAAATTAATACAGCAAAAAGATATCTGCATCTGTGAATAAAACAGGGTGCTTGATGTCAAAAGTACAAAAACACAGATGAGGAAGTACACTTCAAAAAGAAACAAAATTGAAGATAATGAATCCTTAGTTGTGGAGAAAACGTACAATGAAGTGTAGTAATGCTCTCAGTGCTACTCAATGTTTTTTACACATACACTCAGTATTGAAACACCTAATAGAGGAAACCGATGTAGATTTGATTCCATTTCAGCACTAAAATTGCACTACCTCAACATCACCACAAGCACAATGTTGCTTAAGTTAAATAACATAAAAATACAGTGTATCTACTGTAAATCCATTCGAATTAGTGACCAATGCTACTTAAAAGCATATAATATTTATACAAAATTCTGCATAATCATAGGCATTGTCTACAAAATAAAAAAAAATCATTAGCTAAATAATGATCGTTTGATTGCAATACTAAGAGAACCAAAGTAAAGAAATGTTGAAGTTTAACGTCCATTGAGTGTCATGTCACCCATGTAACCCATGCCTCTAGATTGGCCAGCATACTGGTTGTTGTACACTGAGGAGTTGCGGTCCATGAAGGAAGAATCGTAGCGTCCACTAGACATCATTCCACTGGAGTAATTACCAGTGGAAGCAGTCTGGCTACTGAGCTGACCTCCCTGACCTCCTTGTCCACCTCTGCTGTAATTGTCAGATCTGTAGTCATCGTTGCCTCTGAAGTTCTGCTGGCCAAATGACGAAGCAGCTCCATAGTTGGAAACTGTGTTCCTGTCCCTCATGTAGTCGTTTCTTGAATCAGTGCGCAGATCCCTCATGTCAGAGTTGTAAGATCGTATGTCAGCGCCCAAGTCATTCCTTGTGAGGCTTCTCACATCTCCTCTGGTATCGACAGCCAATCCAGACCTGATGTCAGATCGTGTATCCATTGATACATCACCACCTCTGAAGTTACTGTAGTCATTGCGATTCTCTCGTACTGTGTCAGCTGGCATCTCCCTGTAATAGCCTGATCGGAAGTTAGAGTCCCCTCTGTTGTCCATGCCCATGTCAATATTACGAATGTCACGGAGATCTCGAATATCAGAACGGTAATCGTCCCTCATGTTACCTCTGAAATCACCTCGTAAATCAGATGTTTGGTTTAGGTTATCATTCCTCATGTTACCACCAAAGTTACCAGCTGATCTTTGGCCATAGTTTCCAAAATTTCCAACAGCATTACTTGCATTGTTGACATCCCCAACATTAGCAAAAGCATGGCTGCCAAAGTTTCCTGGTCCTTCAAATGGCATCTTCTGGAAGCCTAATTTAAGTGGCTGTGCATTGGGTGCGAATTTGTTCTGTTGGTTATCACCTTGTACACCAAAACGGGGATTAGGCCTTCCACTCATAGGTGGCTTGTTAACTGGCATATTTGGTTTGTTCAGGGGCATAGGCTTTTTCGGTCCAGCAGCTGCACCTACTCCACTAGGTCCACCAAGAGGTCCTTTACGATTGGCTTGAAGCACATCCTTCTTCATCGGTCCTTGTTTGGGTGGAATTACTGTTGGACCAGGGGCATTCATATTGCCAGGAACAACATTGTAAGTAACTTTTGTAACCGGACCTTGATTGAAAACAGGTTTGTTGGCGAAGTTGAGAGGTCTGTTACCAACACCTTGATGCCCAAAGTTACGTGGTCCACCAACTGCATTATTGTGAGGAAATTTGCGCACATTTTGAGTGGCATTGGTAGCAGGGCCAGGCTTGTTGACAGGTGCCTTGGCTGGTGCAGGCTTTGAAGCTCCTTGTTCCTTGACCAAGCCTTTCTTCTTCATATCAATTACAGCAGCCTTGTGATCAGCTAAATTCATGTGAGAAGAAAACTGCTGGTCTTGGTTGCACCCAAAATTGCAAGCATTGCAGGAGTACAGCCACTTCTTTTGGGATTCCGCCGGGGTAGAGTCCTGTTTACCATTGAGAGTTGCAGCAGTTGATGTTGCAGCAGCGGTGCCAGTGGCAGGAGTAGTAGCAACTTTTTTCACAGTTGTTGGGTTTGAGAGAGAACGCTTATGGCGTTTGCTAGTCAGGTGTTGCTCATATTGCCTCTTTCCAACAATAGTGATGTTGCAAACTTTGCATTCAAATGGTTCTTTATCAGTTTTTCTGTTTGCAACATTAGTTTTATGAAGCTGACTATCAGTGTGGTCATTGAGATCAGTAACAGTATTGAAAAACAGCTTGCAAATGTCACAATAAGCTTTCCCTTGAGCCTTCGTAACATTCATCAGATGTCTCTTCCCGTTCATGTGTAGATCATAGTCTTGCTGTTTTGCCATTGATGCATTGCAAACATCACAACGGAACTTATCAGAAGAATTCTGTCCTGTTTGATTCTTCATTCGCTTGGCTGATGGAGTGGAATCCAGAGCTTGGTCACCAGCACGTTTCTGGGCCTGGTTAGCAGTAGAGGACTTATCATTGTTTGAACCATCAGTCTTTGAGTTGGAATGGCTAATTTTGGACTTGTGAGCTTCGCTATTCATGTGCTCCTGGTAGTTAGTGAATGAGCAATTACAAACTTTGCAATTGAGTTCTATGACTCCAGAATCAACCTTGGCTTTGAAAGGAGTTCCAGCAGTTTTAACAGGAGATGCAACTTCCTTTTTAGCAGGAGATGTAGAACCTTCAGATGGAGCAGAGGCGACTGCATCAGACTGTTTGTCCTCTGAGTTAGAGGTAGTTTCTTCTAACAGTTTAGTCTCATCTTGAAGAGACACCTCATTTTCAGAAGGTACAGCAGTGGACTCACTCTCATCAACCAAAGCACTATGGGTCGAAGAATCAACTGCAGCACCTACCTCACCCTGGATGTCTCCTTCTTTCTCGAACACAGTCTCCAAGTTTGCCTTCACAGAATCCTTGACTTCCTCAGACTGAGGGGGGGCATCATCCTTCTGAGGGGTTGCAGCAGATCGAGACCTCCTACACAGAAAACATTAAATTAATAACCAAAATTTACTTAATAAAATTAAAATAGTAAGTTTAAAATAGAGTTAGTTAGATAAAAAAAATAAAAACAGCATACCTTGTCTGACGCATCTTCAGATTTTGTGAAATTAAGAACGCTTGGATGAGGCCACCTTAAACTTATGGCGCTTGCTTTCAGTGTGCTCCTTGAATGATTTCTCCGAGTTCACAGTAGTATTACAAGGATGGCAATAGAACTGACCTATAAAATTACAAAAACATTGAAGCAAAAAACAATTACAAAAATGAAAACGCAATAAACTTTAGATTTGACACCCTACTGGATCCCTATCATACAGTGATAAATAAATTTACAACAATGCAATAATTTGGATGTTTAGGACATGTGAACTGTGAGCAGGTCTTACTGATAATAAGGAAAGACACCTGGAAGTGTCAAATTGCAGTTCGAAGAACAGAATGAGATGGCATAACAACATGAGAGAGCTACTAGATGATCAAACGGAACCCTAACCTCACAAGTAACGATCGCGCGTCCCTGAACTAGGAAGGAGCTCTGAAATCAGAGCACTTGTGAAAATCACAGGGGTAAATGCACGTAAAACATAAATCTCTACAAAAGTAACAGAAAAACTTCAGAGGTAGAGCACCTTAACACGAAAACAATTTAGGCCACTCAGGCTTCCGATGGCATTGGCGGCAAAGCCTAGCGATAAAATAACCCAAGCAAAGAAGAGCGCATCACAAAACGGTTCAGCTTTCCAGAACGGCGAACATAACGCTCGTCTTCTACCTACGATCAAATGCACAGAAGAGAAATATCCGGCGGGGCTTGGATTAACAAAATTTAAGAATAACTTACACGGCTGAACTATGCGTCAAGACGGCAGTTTGATGCCACGAACGAACGAACCGAAGCTTCCCCAAACCCGATTGAACCCGATTCGTGCTCGTGCAGCTTCGTCGTCTTCGGCGACACGAACAGCACAGCTTAGCCAACTGCCACACGTGAAAACCCAGAACAACCGTTCGAGGGATGCGAGCTCTACGGGGAGCATCAAGAACTACACATGCCCACTCACGAAGGAAAGGACGAAAGCGCCATGGAGCACGGGGTATAGAAACGAAACAAAAAGGGACGGGAAGGGGGGGGGGAGCATAACTTTGAAACTCACATCAAGCAATTGTGTTAAAGAATTGTAACTGAAAAGAAGCAAATAAAGCATAGGTAAATGCACAAAGGCACCCGGGCAAGGCAGATGGCAAATGCATGCTCTGAAATTAAAATAGCATCTAATTTTAGATGACTTCACTTACCAGAAGGAGTTCGGTATATGGATAAGTCACTTGAAACAGCACCGCGAAGTCTCTGGCCTCCTTCATTGTGACCAATAACACTGGCAAGAATTGATTCAGTGGGTTCCACTGAAATTAGATTTAAAAAATTGACGAAAATTAATGAGTAATGTTTAACTGAAAGATACAAATGATTTTTTTTTTTCATACCACTACAGTATTTTTTCAGTCATGTTCTATTTTACCTGGAGGAGGAATGACGGATACATCAGTTTTTATCCCAGCTCTTGCTGCATTTACAAGAGCTTTTCTATGTTTGGCACCAGCATAGTGAGAATCGAGGTGCTCTTGGGATGTTGTGCTTATCTGGCAAAGATCACAGTAAAATCTGTTGGAAAAAAATTCTATTATATGTGCTTGGCCTTCCTTCATCAAAATATTACAAAGAGAGGATCTACAGGAAATAAAACTGAAACAAAATTTAATGTCTAAAGATGTAAGAGGGTATAATAGACATACTTGCAGTTTAAAGGTGGCACCTTCATGGGAGGTGTTGAAGACAGCAAGGGAACATCTGCACTTATTTCCACCTCAGCAGTAGATTCAGTCTGTTTACCAGACGCATCTTTAAGGAATGCTTCCCCTATTGCAAAACGACCAGTTGGATCAATAGGAATCTCCACTTTTTTCTTTCTGTAACACCAATAAATTCATAGCTTTAAATTTTTTATGAATGTCTATGTTGTAGTTCCATCCAGGCTGTGCACTGATAAAGTTTAGGTCTGACATAAGAGCCAATTAATACAAACGATTTGGCTGTGCTGTATCCTAGTTTTAAAGCTTTTTGATGAGGTTTTCCCATTTTATGCTGTTCCCCATGCTTGACTGATGTGAATGCAACATCACAAATTCTACAGTATAGGTCCTCAGGATTAACATCAACCTATGAGAAAAATCCACCAACATAAATAATAGCTAGGTCATAAGGCTAGCAAAACTTTGGAGTTGGAGTAGCACATACTGAGGTAGTTTCCACTTTAGGTCTCTTTGGCAAAGGTTGTCCAGTCTCTTCACTCCACTTTTGAAGCCAGAGACGAACTTTCTTCTCGTGGGGCTTCCCTGAATAGTGATGTTTTGCTTGTACAGTTGAGCTAGACTAAATGAAAAATGATGATTGCATAAATATGTAAATAAAGAGGTGCAGAGAAAAGTAAGTAGATAAATACCAGCACTTCACAAAGCTTGCAATGCAATGCTTCAAACATGTCTGTCAATTCCCGAGGCAATTTTGGATCCTTTGGGTTGACTTTGTGATCCTTATCTGGGAAGATAATGAAATGCTTCTTTAAAAACAACAAAAACAGGAACAACTATTTAAGAAAGCAGAAAATCAAATGATAAAGCATCAGCAACTTACAGGTTGTTGGTGCATGTGAAAATTTAGGGCCAGCGGAATTGTTTGTTGTTTCTAATCCAGTGCTACACTCTGCAGGTGCTCCTAAATTAGTCTCATCAGGTTGGTCCCCACCTTAAAAAAGTGGTAATAAAGTAAAAAATAACTACAATATAATTAGGAATAAATAAATCTAAAAACAGAAAAACCTACCAATGAAGTTTTCACCGGGAACGCCTGGTGGGTGAAGCTGTTCAAACACTCCAACAGGTCCTGTAAGATTCCAGCTCCTATAAGATTCCTGAATAAAATTTTTACGAAACATGAGCAAGAGCAAGATATTACTTACGCTCAGTACTTGGTGTTAGCCACGGTCCCTGAAGGCCTCCAGGAGCATTTCTTTGGGAGGACCACAGTGGTGGTGGAGGTCGGCTTCTGTATGGATGGTGTTTTTGAGGTTTCTGATTACTATACCTCATGACAGGGGCAAATGGAGCAGTGCCATTGTTGGGGTAGTGCATGCCATGATGTGCCGACGGATTATTTGTCACTTCTGGTGGTGGAGGAGGAGGTGGCGGTGGCAAACTTAAATGGCTTGGTGGAATCATCATGATTGGCGGATTGTTTGGAAAATTCAAAGGGGTCGTATGTGATGGTGCAACAGTTTGCGAATGGTTTGAAGAGAGTGTGTTGTGATTTGTAACTTTCTCAGTTTGAGCATGATCAGTGATGGATGAATCAGGTGGCATTGAAGGAGGTGGTGGAGGTGGTGGAGCTCGCAGTAGTTCTGACACCCCAATCGGATACGAGTTCATAACTGAAACATGAAATTTCACAAAATTAAACTTTGAGATCTGCCATGCACACAGCAAGAATTTGTGTCTCAGTTTAATTAAGTTTGAGGATTCAAATTCAAAATATCTGTGAGGGTCTATATTTCCCCCCTCGACACTGGAATCATCCAATATTTGACAAACAATAGAAGTGTAACACCTTTTTATCTGTACAAACTATGCAGGTCGTGTATTTGCACTTAGATAACCTCCAAAATCTGCCCGTATGGGTTTTGCCGGTTCATCGCAAGGAAGGTTTCCTCGATATAAAGTCGAAAGGTAACAGAATATATACATTGTGAGGGTCCCCAAGGAAGTAAATCTAAATTCTCAACGACACAACAAACACTTGTCCGAGTAATTTAAAGTCCAGCCCCCAACTGTTTATTATTTTGTTTGGTGAATAATTTACGTCGTTAAGTAGAATTTCTCCATATCATTTATTTTGAGCAGGCCACGGGCGTACCTCTTTCGTAACGGAACAACAGTGACTTGCAGACAATAGGCAAAAGACAGTAAATGTCACACAAGTTTAGACTTCACCGCAGCCACGGCACAATCTCCCGTGCTCTCTGCCTCTGCTTTCTGCTTTGTTGACACACATGCATACATGCGTAATCGCTGTGGGCTGTTGCTCGTTGATTGGCCGAGCCAAGCACGTGACACTCCCATCATGCCCCATTCGCACCTGTTCCAGCACTGCACACAACTTGACACAACACGACACTACAGTGACAAATCAATGTTCTCGATTTTTCTGTTTACAGCCTACTCTTTTGTTTCTTGTTTTCTTTCTTATACCGTTGTTGGAGGTTTTCGATGATCTAACCGAAACATTAATCTCCTATCAATGACGTTTTCAGCACAAATGAAAGACGCGTTCAAATGGTGGGCATATTTCGCGCGGCTTGTATGAGAAATTCTATTTCCAGTGATTTCAAGTAGTTTTAAGTAGTTAAATAAAACATTGAAGATTCAAGGTCAGAGCGTGTCCGAAAGATCTGTTTTGTGTTGTCAGTCTGGTCTGCGGGATCGGTTGGTGTGCAGCTACACATAGTGTAGTAAACATATGTCTCTCTCGCTCCGAGCGATCGCACACCGACTTCGGACACGTTCTGACGAGATAACGATAACAGACGATAACAGAAACGGCAAGCCGGTCGAACTCACCACCCACGTTTGTTGCGAAAGGGTTGAAACTATCACTTTCTTTTCTGAGTTTGTGGCGAGCAGTACAGACCGAACTTGACAGAACTACACGCCAAGTTAAGGGCCATCACGATCGTAAGACGTTTCTTTACCATTTTGTAGTTACAAAGTCAGTTGTATGACGGAACTGTATATTTTAATGTTACCTTTCCCATTCAGATGAGTCTCACAGAAACATCAAGTTCCAAGTGTTTTGGGGGAGTACAGAAAATCTTCTCTCATGACAGGTTAGTTCTTTCACACTCAAGTTTCAGAAATTTAGTCATCTTAGTATGTCAAACTGTGACATCTTGCCTGACAAAAATAACGTGTCACGTTATGTTTTAATTTTAATCTGTCAAGATGACTCTATTTTGACCTGTGACATTACTTGATGTCATCTGCACAAATTTCTATCCCCTGAGTGTAGACATTAATTGGACTACCCCACTCTGTGCATTCACTGACATTGACATTAGTTAGACGGCCAGCTATAGCCGGCTATAACATTGTAACATTTATGATTGATTGATTGAATGGTTGCCATAGTGTTAGTGTTAGTGGAACTTTCAGAGCTACTTCATTATTGCAAATTTATATTTTATTTTCTATTTTCTGCCTGTAGTAAAGAACTGGGCTGCAAGATGAACTTTGCAATTTACCTTCCTCCGCAAGCTGAGGACGGAAAGGTTCCACTCATATTCTGGTTGTCTGGGCTAACTTGCACTGAACAGAATTTCATCACCAAAGCTGGAGCCCAGCGTGCTGCTGCTGAGCATGGTGTGGCAATTGTCTGCCCCGACACAAGCCCTCGTATGTTCTGTCAACTCTAGTGTAGCATGAAGTATCATGTCAGGTTTTAAAAAATATTTTTATGACTCCATTATTTTTCTAGGAGGATTAAACATTCCTGGAGAGGATGAAAGCTGGGATTTTGGCTCAGGAGCGGGTTTCTATGTTAATGCAGTGGTTGATCCATGGAAGAAGAACTATCGCATGTACTCATACGTTACCCAAGAACTGCCTGAACTGGTTTTTGAAAACTTCCCAGTTCTTCCTGACAAAATTTCAATCATGGGACACAGGTAAATTCATTGTCTGAAGCATATTTTTTCC